AGTGGTGATCTTCCACAGGCTACAGTTCTTGACAATCTAAAAGATCAGTTCCTATTGAAGTCAAAAGGAGAGACTGTCATTTACTTCAGTGGGAGCAGGATTCAAGAGTGCTGTAATATGCAGTCTAATTAATCTTCCTAAAAAAATTTTTTTTTGCATTATCAGTTTTTTCTGCTGAATCCCTCATTATTTTAGATTCTAATTAATCTTCTTTTCCTAAAAAAATTTTTTTTTGCATTGTCAGTTTTTTCTGCTGAATCCCTCATTATTTTAGATTTCATTCTAGATTTTTGTAAACATTCTCCTGTGACTTAATGCCTGGAAGAGTGTTTAGTTTTCAATGAAAACAGAGTATTTGGTGTCTTTATGGACTTTAATATTTGTAAAATTTTATACCATTACTTTTGTAACTAGCTTTCCAAGAAGAAATCTTTATTCAGTGAATCTGTTAGTTCATGTGGAAAGTATTACAATCCTAAAATTAAATATTACAGAATAGGATTTTTGGTATTTGATCTCAATATCATGCTGACTCTTTAGAGGTAGTAAAACTATTTCACCTTTTCGGCATACTTTTCTAAATGACATTCATATTGCCAGTTGATTGCTTTATTGTACAGTAATTCCAGATTTGAATGCAAATTTGGTGACTAACATGATAAATAACGCAAATATAAAGCATTTTAAATCTAGAAGATAACTTTAATTTCAAGAATATGAAATATGCTTGCTGACAAAAATCAAGTATTCATATATTTCCTTATCAGTGACTAAAGATTGGAATGTAATTGATTTTCTGTCTACGCTGTTCATGAATTGACAGACTTGTACGTGTATTTTTTTTTACCATAGACAATTATATGATTTCTTCATAAGCGAAGAACGAGAGTCAAAACTAACTGCTTTTTACTCTAACAGTTTCCAACTGGTACGTGCATATACAGGCTGTCCTCACTATAAGTCCAAAAAAACATTCCAAAAAACTTGGACTTATGGCAAAAGAACTTAAAGTGGGGAATTTTTTTCCTGTGGCTGACTTCCATTTGAGCAAGTTGGGGGTTTTTTTTGCGCCACTAAGAGTGAGAAATGGGAGGACTTCTAATGCATCAGTTCCTACAAGCATCAATGACTTAAGTGCTCAGCGGATGTATACCGTGAGGACTTATAGTGGGGACGCCCTGTATACTGGATGAAATGAGACTTGACAAAAGTTGGTGATCATCCTTTATGTTCCCCTTTGGTAATAGGTCATGGTACAAAGATGATCTAAATCTGAACAGCAAAAATGAAAATAAACTTTAAAAAAATGAAAATAAACAAGCTTATATTTGTGTACTAAACAAGAATATGCTGAAGGATATCACTGAGTGTAATGGAGGTTTATTTCTTTAAAGAAAATTAAATATTTATTTCTAAGCTTGTCTCCCACAGTCTCATAAGTGGAAATTAGAGAAGTAAAATCCCAGTTAATCATGAGGTTATTAAAATTAGAGAAGTAAAATCCCAGTTAATCAGCTAATTGGTTAAATAGTAGGTTAACTGAACGCTTATCTGGTTAACCAGCTACAGCAGGATCTGGGCTGGGGATTGCTCCAGCCCATCTGGAGCAGCCCCCAGCCAGTGAGTGTCCTGTCCCCAGCCCTGTGCTGGAGCTGTCACCGGCTCCCAGTCCCCGCCAGACCAGCCTATGTCTGCGGCAGGCCTAGTCTCCCCGCGAACAGAGACTTTTCTGGATGCTGGAGCAGTCCCTGCCTGTGGGGCTGTCTAGGCCCACTGTGGACAGGCAGGGTGCTGCTCCAGCACCCACGAGTTACTGGTTAATCAGAAGTGGTAAGCATCACCCATTTAGGGTGATGGTAACCAATTAACTTTTCACATCCCTAAATCAAAGTCATTTCTGATTGTAAGAATTTTTGGTTTGCATTGATCTCTCAGCTGTTGAGATCTGTGTATTTGAGACCAAAGATCCACAAAACCAATGTTGTTAGTGTAAATATATCCATTTTGTTCATTTATTAAGTTTAAAAAAAAAACCCTGTAAATATGCACTGTATGCCATCTACTCCATTACATCTTCTCAAGACATTAACATTTTCTCAAGGCCCTTTCTAGTCCTATGATTCTATGAAGAATAGCTCTGTCCTTTTGCCTAATATCTTTACTCAATATCAAAGGTTGTCATCATCTTATTTTACCTCTTTTGTTAAGTGTTGCATTGTAGAGTTGTTTCAGTGACTCACAGTAAAGACTGTGTAAAGACTGACTCGTAACTTAGTCATCCATTCTTGCATGCACAATTTGATAAATATAATCTTATGCCAAGATGCGTCAGAATCTGGTGACTGTTGTGATCAGGTTAATAATATTTGCTATTTTAGAAATCACGTTTGACTAGTATTTTAAATGTACAACAGTTTGTGAGAGCAGCTGGGTTCCTTCAATATATTCTGGAAACTGTGACCCAGGAACCTCTTGCTACTCAAAGGTTGCATAGCATTTTATAGGGATCCACTGTGTCCAATATATGCAAAGGGTGATGTGTTTGAGGTCTCTTTTGAGAACCATCAGCCCACCAGTCATCATAATCATTGCAAAATGGATAATATTTAAGGAGTTGTTTGTACTGAAAATTATGTTTTTAAGGCTGATAACCAGGAGGTAATATGTCTCAGGTTCCTTTCAAGCATGAGGTAATAAAAGCATCTATCTGGTCATGTGTGTACTTGGCACTGTGTGTCACACTGGATGCCTGAGCCAAACACTCAAAGAGTTTGTATCTCCCTCTTTCAGAGTAAAGACAGTAGATTTCTGGTATATGTCTGGAGGTACAGAGGTACACCCTGAATCTTTCACTGAAAAGGCAAGCTAACTATGTTTGACTTGTGAAACAGTGATAGAAATGTAGCCGTGTTAGTCTGGTGTAGCTGAAGCAAAAAACAGGACTAGGTAGCACTTTAAAGACTAACAAGATGGTTTATTGGGTGATGAGCTTTCGTGGGCCAGACCCACTTCCTCAGATCAAATAGTGGAAGAAAATTGACACAACCATACAAAGGATACAATCAAAAAAATGAACACATATGATTACCTGCATCCTGCTTCAAAGACCTTTTCACACCAGACTTGAAAGAGAATCCTCTGAACTGTCATTCATACTTAAATTCGACACTTATCACCTAGGTCTAAACAAAGACATTAATTATCTTACCCATTACAAAGATAGCTTCCCCAATTATCACCTCTAATATCATTAGCTCACAGACATTTACCTCCCTTCCTCATCCCCCTTCTGTTCTGAAATTTGATTTGTCCTTTTCATATGTGTTCATTTTTTTTGATTTTATCCTTTGGTATATATGATTGTGCCAATTTTCTTCCACTATTTGATCTGAGGAAGTGGGTCTGGCCCATGAAAGCTCATCACCTAATAAACCATCTTGTTAGTCTTTAAAGTGCTACATAGTCCTGTTTTTTGACTTGTGAACTGAGGGATGCAGTCAAGCCTGGCTGTAAACTGCTGTAAGGACTTACAGAGCATGGTTCTGAGACAGGAAAGTATTTAGTTAAGAGAATCTGAGTTCTAGAATGCTTGTTACAATTTTTATTTTCTGGGTGAGCATTTGTTTCCAATACTTCTAATTGCATTTCTATACCTTGCTAAATAAAACCTTTACTCATGTTCACTGTAACCATGTCTGTGTGCTGTATGTTAAGTGAGGAAGTTAGTTAAGTAACTAACCTGAGGGTACTGCTTCTTTGGAAGCAATGAATCTGAATACTGACAGAGTCCAGTGGAACAGGGGCTAGATCCTCAGAGAGAGATGCTTGGAGTTGGAGTGTGCATGTAGCTCACCTGTAGACTAGAAGCAGACAGGAGGGCCTGCATAGGCCTAGAGGTGAATGCTTGTGTTGCCTGTAGTTGGTGCATTAGGGGAGCGGATTCATGGCAGGCACAAACAAGGCTTACTTGTGCTGAAGCCAGGTGGTATCAAGGTTCTCACAGCCTTGGGTTCCCCCAGGAAACATCATAAACCCCGCGGTTAAAACTTAAAGAGTTTTGCAAAGTCAGTGGCAATTTACATATTAATTTTTTTGTCCATCAATTTCAGCTACTCGGTAATTTTAACTCTTCCCCATATCAGCAAGTTCTTGTTTAGGCTAAACTAGCACACTATCCATTGTATATGCAATGTATCTGTAGCCACGTTGGTCCCCAGGATATTAGAGAGATAAGGTGGGTGGGTAATATCTTCTGTTGAACCTAGCAAGATATACTATCATTGGAATGCTGCAATAGCTACCCAAAAAGCAAAAAGGTCAGACCCAGCAATTTGCGCCTACTTTTGATAACCTAGTTTTGAAAATACTGCATTGTGTCAGGTAGATGAGACAAATACAGGAAGGATTAGATCACATTCCAGTATCTTATCAGATAATACTTAATCAGAGGGTGGAATTTTTAAGAACACCTAATTTGCTTAAAACAGGACTGTCCAGACTAACAAGGCTACATTTCTACCACTATTTGCTTAGGAATTCAAGTCTCCTTGTGCTCCTAATTTTGAACATCCCACGCAGACTAAATATCTAATCTGAAAAACTATGAATATATTTAAGATTCTTAAAAGCTGAACAATTTCCACAAATTTAAGGATTATATTTTAATGAATGTTTTTACATGCACAACCGTTAATGGTGAGGCTTACCACTTAAACCTTCACATCCCTAACAAATACTCATCCTTGTCTACTCTACCATCAGATTTACCTCAAATTTGCAGTGTAAATTACTGACTATATTATTAATTGTCAACAAAATCCTGAAAATGAATCTGTGTATTGTTGCAATTGTAAAGCTAGACCAAATGTTTAAAAAAATATAATCTTAATTCCTGCATTTTTTTTTTTTTGTTTTTGATAAGGACACTTCAGACTTCTAAAAATATTTACAACAGTGAACAGCCTCACACATCAACTGTATAGGGTCATTGCAGGCCACAGAGAAGTCACCAACTCTCTGGTGAGGCTAGAAATTAACCTGATTCTAGCAAATAATGTCAGGTTTTTTTTATAGGAATGATCTTATCTACTTTGCCCATAGTGCTAACACTGAAAATAACACAATTCAGTGCATGGTTAGTGGCATCAAGAGCAACTCTTGCCAGATACTGAGGATCTGCTAAAATCAGACAAAAGAGCAAAGGTCCCCTGCTTTTCTACTTCATTATACATCCAAGAAAACTGGCACTGCATGCTCTATTCATCTCAAAGATTTGCAGTCATTGAATCTAAATACTTTGTGATAGAATTCTCTGCATGGCTAGTTAAAGGATTTATACAAAAATTGCCCTGGTAGGGAGTACACTTATTTTGGTTTGGTTCACAGTACATTTATTATATATTACTACATCTTTTTTGACATACCTAAGCTAATTACACGTGCATGGCACCTCATTGGAAAGTTTTAGCTATTTTCTGAGAATTATCTACATCATTGACCTCGCAAAGGAGCATGCAGATATTTTCTCATCTGTTACTAATCCATCCCCTGAAAGGAGTAGAAATGCTAAAACTACTGTGCATGAGCAGCGTTAAATAAAATGTCTTGTGGGTCATACAGAACCTTAGTGGGCCACAGGTTGCCCACCACTGCTATAAAGTTGTTGTGGACATTAACAGTACATATGTTTAAAGGCTTCTCTATATCACCAGATTCTGGAACTGTCTGGTGACTTCTTTTGAAGATAGAGTAGTCAGAGGAGAATCTTGGTTCCAAAAAAAGGCAAGTTCTATACAACTTTCCTGTTCCCATTATAATCACTGGGAATCTTGCCATTGATTTCACCTTAAGTAATCTGGATCATATTATCTTTCACACTAATGGATGATTGTACAGGATTTTGAACATCTAAATTAGTGCATATATCCTAAATTTTATCTCTGCCCAAAACATTCTGTAGAATTACTGATAGGCTTATATATGTTTATATGAAGACAAAATAATAATTCACATAATGGGTAATCTTTGACTTCTCTGAGGCTAGGGTACTGGCTACATTGCCTGTGCTAGCAGTGTACTGTTTGGACAGTCTAGTGAAGTCTAATTATTAATCTGTTAATTTTAAAATAACCCTTGAGTAGTATTTGTTTAATCCTTTTAGGCTCTAGTGTCTCTTAATGGCTTTATACTGTATAATGAGTAGAATTATTGCTGGTGTTAATATGAATGTGTTTATACTGTCCAATAACCTACTTTATTTCTGTTTAAAATCTAGCTCCAGTGAGTGATGATGATGTTGTTTCAGATGAGGTGGAGATCCATCCTACCACAACAGTGTGTTCTGCTGGTGATATGTCTCCTAATTAATTTGGAAGCAGTGCCTATAGACGTAGACAAGACAAAAGTGCAAGGGGAGCCCCATGTAGAAGGAGCTAAAATAGAAACCCCAGTAAGTAAATGAAAGGTATTTTATTAATACTTTGTACTGATTGGCAGTATTTTTATCAATTAACAAGCTCATTGATTTTTTTTTTTTTATCTTGAGATTTGTCCATGACTGGTCCTCTGAGGTGCTCTAATAAATAATATTTAACTTTGTTGGTGCTGTACTCCAGTGGGAAGCTAGTGGTATTTCACCTTTCCATATGGTGTGTTCATATTCAGGGTTCAATAACTAGTTCAGATCTGTTGCTCTCTGATGTGGTAGGGCTGGGGAGGTAGCAGTGGCAATGCCAAAGCTCCTGCTGGGAGGAATTGCCTATTGCACAACTCCTCCCAGCTAACTGTGTCATTAATGGGCTACAAAAGGAAGTTGCTCTCAGTCATCTTGGGCAGGAAGAAAGCTGGAGCTCCACAGAGAATGGAAGAGGGTTAAACCAAGGAAACACTGGATGATTTTCACAAACCATTTTCCTAGTAGCAAAATGCAATGAATAGCCATGTCAAATAATGATCACTGTGACAATGTTTGCCAAAGTGCAAAATGGAGATGCTAGGAAACAAAGTGCATGTAAGAGCGTTTAGTTATTACACAATAATATTGCTGTTCAGAGCACCAAGTGAAGTCCTGCTGCTGAACATGAACTCTTGGAAGGGGGCAGTTCTGTATCCACAGGGTTCAGCTCTAGCGGGCTAGATTCCTCTGGATTATTTGCCCCAACCTCACAGGGGAAAACACAATGGACATTAATATAGCCTGATACCAGGGCAGTTCATATGGGGATGCCAAGCCTGGGACAAAATCACCTAGAGAGGCTCCCCCTTAACATATTTATATAGGCAGGGGGCCCTGATCCACTTCTATCAATCTGCAGACTTCCCCGTCCCCTGTAATTGGGAGTCAGCAGTGCTGTTCTTTCCCAGTGCAATTAATTCCTACACCCTAACTTTCCCAAATCCCCACCTCCAGACCTCAAGAGCAAGGGACCTGCAGAGTACAGTACACAGTGCACCATCCTCCCAATTAATCCCTCCCCCCCCCCAATACTGCTGTCTGCCCATGAAGCATTCACATGCCTAATTCACCCCTTTCCTCAAAGACAGATTTCATTCTCAACAATCTGCCACCAACCATGCATGACTCTCAAACTGTAACACACTCCAGCAGGCATCTATTTCAAAACTCCTTTTGTCTAATGGAGTTGTGATTGACTTATCTATAGTTAAATTAACTTACTGTGGAGTGAGTTCACACTAGGGATGTTAGAGTTTAACAGTGTAACTGATAAGCTGATGTTTATTGGTATCTGTCAAACTCAGCTTCTGGGGAGGTGGCTTTACTATGGGAAGGCAGCAAAGCATCCTCCCCTGGAGCAAGGCAAGCAAGGGCTGGCGGCACCATTCCCGGGGAGGCTTTGCTGCAGTATAAAAATAGGCTTTATACTTCAGAGCTTGCAGTGCATGTAATCACTGAGAATTATTTAGTGTTTACACGGTTACCATATTAAACCATTTTTAACATCCCTAGTTCACACTATCGCAATGAAGACAATGATTCATCCAGACATTTAGTACCTCCCTCTCAGAAGTACAGTAGGGAACAGGTTTGGGAGCTTGTGTAAATGATAATTGTGCAAACCAACAAAAGCAAAGAAATTCATATCGTGTTACCGATATACTGAATCAGTGTATTATGCTCAGTATTACTCAGATGTGGGATTAGATTAAATCCTTTCATTTATATGAAAGTGAAAACATTAGGAGGCATTTTTTTTTCTAATCTCAAACTTTTTTCCTAAAGGATACTGGGCTTTATTATGATGAATATCTCAAGCAAGTGATAGATGTCCTAGAAACAGATAAACATTTCAGAGAGAAACTTCAAACTGCTGATATAGAGGAAATAAAGGTATGTGCAAAGATCAACCAAAACTAATCAAGACAAGGGTAGACAGCTACATATCAATAATAATTTGAGGTGTTAGCATGTTTATATTTTTCCATGCCTCTTAATTTTATTTAATATTGCTTTTCTCATTAGATTGTACACTTTTTAAATTACTCTTTAAAGAGATCTTTATCTCTGCAGTTACAGGACAGATGTCCTGTTTTCTAAAGATATTGTACCATATCAGTCTCCCAAGAAGTTGTAATTTGCTACCTAATTACTAATAGAACAATTATATGCAGATAACCTGCTTCTGGGAAACAGTTATTCACTGTATCCTGCAAAATGGAAAGCAAAGCCTTAAGAATTCTTTGAAATTCAAAATGAACAGCATAGTGTTCACTATTTCTTAGCATTGCTCTCACTTTGTTGCCTGCCAACTAATTCAAAGTACTAGTGAGCCAACAGCAGAGGCTTTTCTGCCTGCTCAGGTGGAAGCAATGTGCCACATATAAATTTAATGACATGAAAGAGTGGAGGAGGGAGAGAAACACAAAAAAGCCTGACCTTGAAGACACTAGGAGTTGAGGACAACACACTGCTTTCAAGTTTTGTGCTAAAGTGATAGTATTTGGGAAGAATAAAAAAGATTAAACTGTGGTTCTCTTCTTTTCTCAGCACTCCTACTTCAGGTACCATGCCAAGCATGGTCTTGGTGCTCTCCCTTCTCCTGCTGTTACTTACCACCTTAGGTCATATTCACTCCTCCTCTGCCCTTCCCCAATCCTGAGGCCCAGATGGATGCTTCACATTCTATTATGAGTGCTGGATTTGGGTAGGGAGGGAGGAAACCTGGCCTGCAAATGCATGGTGAGACTGGGGATCGGAGAGCTCCAAGTTTCTATTTGTCTTGCATTCCCTTTGATGCAAAGCTCTGATGCTGCTGCTGGAGCAGGGGTGGGCAATAAGTGGCCTGCGGACCAGATGTGGGTTGCCAGAGTTAGCGCCTGGTGGGCCGCCAGCACTAAATTTACACAAACATCTGCAGGAATGGCCAATGGGAGCTGAGGGAAGCTATGCAGGCCGGACCACTGCTTCCCACAGCTCCCATTGGTTGGGAATGGTGAACCATGGCCAATGGGAGCTGCACCTGCAGATATACAGGTAAATAAAGTGTCTGGCAGCCCACCAGGGTCTAATCCTGGCAAACGGCATCTGGTCCATGAGCAACTTATTGCCCAGCCCTATCCTAGATTCTGATGGCTCTTGGCTCCGCTCCATTCCTTGCACAGTCCCTGGAGATTGGTAACAATCCTCAGATGCATTCTTATAGCACCCTCAGGTGGCTGCTTTTGTGCTGATTCTTCCCTATAGCTGTTACAGTCTTCAGCAAGAGAGTGGTGCCCACATTGCTATGTTGGTCTGCAGGTCTCTGTGGATCACATGATGAGAATAGCTGTTCTACAGCATGGTCACTTTCTATACAGATACATAGCTCTACTTCAGGGGTCTGATTTAATTATGGTATTTGGAACATCAACTTTTTTTTAAAAAAAAAGGCAGTTTAAACAGTCTTTCAGTACCTTGCCCTGACTTCCATTTTCATAAATTTACAAAGTCAATATTTTCTCCGAGCAATGTTTGAGATATTTATGGTTTTTATAAGATCTTCAGAATGGGCGGTGACTACCATGAGTGGAGTCTTACAACCCACATCTGGTGGGTATCTGAAAACTACAACATGTTTGTCTTTATAGATCATTGTTTATTTTAACAGAGTGGAAAGCTAAGCAAAGAGCTAGACTTAGTAAGCCATCATGTGAGAACAAGGTTGGATGAACTGAAAAGACAAGAAGTGGCAAGGTTAAGGATGCTAATTAAAGCTAAAATGGATTCCTTTCAAGGTAAGAATACAAAGTATAATTCAGAGAGAATTAACAGATGGGTGCCTAGAATTCACCATTTTTGATCTCACTGGTGCTAATCAGCAGTATTGATTAAACTGAGTTGGAATGGTAAGAAGGTTCCCTTTTCATACTCCTCAGATGGAAGATATGGGGAATTGGCCTTCTAGGAAACTGGGGAGAAGGGAAGCAACTGATTCTGACAATGGGACTTTTAGATGCTTTTATAACTGTTTCTCAGACAATGGTTTCCCCTAACGTCTCACTGTCCACATCCTTCACTGTAGTCTAGCAGCTTGGCTGGGTTGAATTTAATCAGTTAAACTGTTTAGAGATTTCCCCCAAGTACAAAACAACATGAGCTAGTCACTTAGCTCAACATTTAGACGTCCATGGTGCCTACGTTTCCACTGGTGGACATGAACTCAGCTACCTAACTCCTGATGCAGCTCAGCTCCCTGTTGCATGCCTAAGACCCAGTATGATTCTTAAACTGTTCCCTGCCTGTCTTTCCTGCTGGGCCTGATCCAATAAGACAAGCTCAGAGGATGCATCACCTGCGCAAAAGACAGCATGGGAGATCAGATCAGGAATTAGTGTGTGGGATTAGGGCACCCACAGGGTGCTGTAAGAGACCAGTTTTCACCTCCTCTTTGTGCCTTATTTGGAGCAGGGACTTGAACTTGGGGCTCTACGCACCCAGGAGAATCCCCTAAGACTGGCATTCACAGGGACAGACAGAGAAAGATAGATGCTGAAGCCTGATGGCTTAGATATTCACCTGGGATGCAGGAAACCCATGTTCCACTACCTGCTCCATTGAACCATTGGGTTGTTGTTTATAACAGATTGGGGTCATGTCCACAGCTACCTGCCCTCGAGAAAGAGAAAGGATTGACTTGACCTGAGCTCCAGGAGCAGCTGTGTGGCACCAAGCAGAGATAGGTGCCTTGCTACCTTTGAAAGGTGTTACCCCTCTCCTTGACGTTTCCTACTGGTTAGCTTAGGTAGCACTCTGCTCAGCATGTGCTGGCTTATATGAATACCATCTTTAGGAACCTAACGGTCCCCATGCATGGTACAGGGAGCCTGGGTGCCTTACTTGGGGGTGAGAATACCCTTGGGTGCCAGGGAACCTAAAAATTAGGTAATAGATATGTAGCCGTGTTAGTCTGGTCTTGCTGAAACAAAAGACAGGACTATGCAGCATTTTAAAGACTAGCAAGATGGTTTATTAGGTGATGAGCTTTTGTGGGCCAGACCCACTTCCTCAGATCAAATTGTGGAAGAAAATTGGCATGACCATATATACCAAAGGGATACAATAAAAAAAAAAAGTGCACACACAAAATTGACAAATCAGATTTTAGAACAGAGGGGAAGAGGGGAAGGGGGGGAGGTTAGTGTCTGAGATAATCTCATAGACACTCACCTCCCCTCTGTTCTAAAATCTGATTTGTCAATTTTGTGTGTGCACTTTTTTTTTTTATTGTATCCCTTTGGTATATATGGTCATGCCAATTTTCTTCCACAATTTGATCTGAGGAAGTGGGTCTGGCCCTTGAAAGCTCATCACCTAATAAACCATCTTGTTAGACTTTACAGTGCTTCATAGTCCTGTCTTTTGTAAAAATTAAGTGTTAAACACCTTTGTCTCTTTGTGGATTTAGAACAATCATTTTTTTTAAAAGGTGTTAACAGGTTTTTATAACTGGCTCAAAAGTGGCTCTCTTTCTTTGAAACTTCTCCTCTGCCGAAATTAATTTTAGGCTTATGAGAAACTCCGCTCAAAGGATAATATTTTGTTGTTGCAGTCCTAAGCACCATGAACAGGGTTTTGGAATGAAAGTTCTCTCATCCATAATTATAGTATTAATGCTACACTGCAGTCTACACTCAGTAGGTCTTTATATTTAGAAAAAAAGTACCCAAGTTTCCAGCAAGTACAGTTACTGTCAATTTGCTTGGCAGGAGGTGTTGCCTCCTTACCTAGCCCAACACTGCACAATTTAATTCTAACATGCAACATATAAAGTTTAAAAAAAAATGACCAGAAAGACTTGATGAAAACCTTTTACTGTAGGTATCTTTCTGAAAAAAATTGTATTCACAAGCACAGAATTTCTGGTGATGACTTGCAAGATCTGCTAACAATATTTTCCAAAATGTTCTGGTTAGTTTAAATAAAATTGCTGTGTAATTTTTCTGTGCAGATTTCAATGTTATAGGGGCCTGATCCAGTTACTCATCAAGTCAGTGGAAAGACTCGCAGTGACTTCAGTGGGCAGTGAATCAATCTAAACTTGTATTCTTATACCACAGTGGCACTAAAATACTGACAGTTTAGTATTGTGGGGAAGGTGGGCAGATTGAGGGAATTGTGTAATGTCAGGAAAAAGCCAAATATCTTTGGATAAGGACTGTATTTATTCTGCTTTTTCCAATGGTGGACTAGTCACTAGGCCAACAAAGCCCATGTTCAAGTGCCCTGGCCAAGTGTGAGACCCTGGAAAATGGGTGCCCCCTCACCCTGACCCACTCTGCCCACCTGGTGCTTCTGCTGGGGAGCCCCCATAGCCTAACCCTATTCCTCACTTCAGTGCTGGCAGAGTTAGGCAAGCCTCCATTCTCAAACCTCACTTCCCTACGGGCACACTGGGAAGGGGTAGAACGGGTGAGGAGTGACTCCCACTTTGTTTAGCCCAGGGGATGCACAAAACACTCATCTGCCCCTGCCTCCAATGGAGCCTTGATCTCCGATTGCAGCATTTCTTGTATTTAGATCTCTAACTTTAGGTTTGAAAAATTTGACCAGTGTATCTAATTTTAGATTCCCAATTTTTGGAAGTGTTGAACATGCACAAATTCCACTGAAGTCAATAAGAACTGCAGGTGCCCTGCCAGGCAGTGCCATGCTAAGCATCCAGATGCCTAAGCTCCCTCCTGCACAAATCATCATAGGCACCCATCACCAACAGCAAGCTTACATTGCCATACTCCATGCATTGCTGTAGCCCATCTGGTGAAGACCTGCTCTGCAGACAGAAGAGTTGTTTCCCTCATCATAATTAGTTCACCTTCAGGAGAGTCAGAAGCAGTGTTGGTGGGAATATGTCGTCTCCTGCCCACATAGCACCAGTGTAACTGATGTCACTTATAGAGGATGCAGTGTTACAGCAGCTTAGTCAGTAGCGTTGACTAGCCATAAGAGAGGAGTTGCAGCAGAGAATCCCAAGTAAAAGGAGGCACTGTCTTGGGTGCCTAAGGCCCGCTTACCCTTTGGCATTGTGGCATCTCCCACTGGCTGTTTTAGGGGAGGCACCACCTAGTGACTGGCTTTTGTGAATTCCATTCTGAGGAGCTACTCTTTGTTCATTGTATAGAGAGCTTAGGTGCTGAACTCAGGCTGAGTCCCAGTGATTTGCTAGGCTCCTAAATTCCTTTGTAAATTTATCCCTTAACCCCTAGACATTGAGACTCATGCACATGTTTTAGGCACCACTACAATCCACAAGGCTCCCTGTTGGTTCCCACCAAACGCCATCGGCGTCTAAACTCACTCAGTGCTTGTTGTCTGAATAAGAGCTCCCTGGATGCTTATATTTCTGCTTCCAGGCATGCACACTGCCCTTGGGTACCTAAAGTGCATTGTAATACACGAATCAGTAGAAGATAAACATTCACCCATTTACTGTGTGGTAGGGCTAGATTGGGTAGGTATGCCCAGAGATTGCCTTCCAGATTGGATTCCAGTTGTGGTTATGGTGGTGCTAATACTGTCCAGGTAACTTTGGGCCCACTGTCTCACCTAGCATGTGGGAAATACGGGTTCCATTCCCACCTCAGGTGCAGCAACTAGAACAGGGCACTATTGGACTCTTGAGTTACATCTACACAGCAACATTATTTTTAAATATCTAGCATTATTTCAAAATAACTTAGTCTGCATCTATACAGCAGGCAGTTATGTCGAAATAATGTCAAAATACTGTCATGCTGGAGGACTTCTTATTCCAATTCCTGTAATCCTTACTGCATGAGGAATAAGGGAAGTCAGAGGAAGAGTGCTCTATTTTGAAATGTGCTGTATTGCTAAATAAGCTATTTTGAAATAAGCGACACAGTTGATGTAGCTCAATTTGTGTATCTTATTTCAAATTAAGCCCTGCTGTGTAGATGCATCCTGGATCTCTTACCCTACCAAATCACCTAATCCTAATCACCAAGCTCTCTCTGGCCCAGCAACTAATATTTCTGGAGTCAGACAGCTGAGGTAGACACCTCACTCCACACACAACTGTCAGAAGAGGAAGAGGTCTTATACCTTTTAGCCCTATGTCTAGAGCACTCGCCTGGGACGTGAGAGACTCGGCTTCAATTCCCCCACTTAAAGGAGCAGTGAACAGAAGATTTGCATAAGGATCTTCCACTCCTCTGAGGGTGCTAACCAGGGTATTCTGATGTGGGTTCTTTCAGTCTCTCCTGTTGAAGCTGTTCCGGGATCTTCTACTCCTCTGAGGGTGCTAACCAGGGCATTCTGATGTGGGCTCTTTCAGTCTCTCCTGTTGAAGCTGTTCCACTGTGCATAAGGAAGGGTTTCCAGCTGGGGAGTGCAAACAGAGCTAGGTTCCTTCCTGCAACTAGATTCAGGTGCCTATCTCCAAGAGTGGACTGGTTTAATACACCCCGTCTCATCAGTATTTCCAACTGGCTAGTTTAGATGGGGAGCTGCCTTGCATGCTAGCTTTAAAAACAAAACCCACCACATTTTTAAGTGCCTATCTTTCCCCATTTACTGTATAGGGACTCTAGGTGCTCAACTCAGGCTTTTTGGATCAGTGTTGTCCGTGACTTGAGGTTCAGCATTGGCATGCTTTACATGCTCACAATGCCAAAATCCCTTTGTGGCACTGAGCCTTTGTGCCCGCTGGGAATTAGTGGAGCATATGGCCCTTTAGGTATTCCCTATCCTTCCTCTGCCACCCTTAATCATGCTGACTTTACAGTATCTTGGGATTCCCTGAGATGCCCTGTCAGGGTATCTTTCTGGGGGCTTTGCGCTGTCACTGGGGGTATGTGTACACTACCCCGCTAGTTCGAACTAGTGGGGTAATGTAGGCATACCGCATTTGCAAATGAAGCCCGGGATTTGAATTTCCCGGGCTTCATTTGCATAAGCGGGGAGCCGC